CCGCACCCCACTGCTTTTCACAGCTAGATGTTATGTGGGTACCCTCCTCTTTTTTGCGCTCTCTGCTGGGGAGCCCAGCTTGGGGATTAGATCTCAGAGTTTTCAGTGGCAACCTCCCCCACTCTCCCACCCCCACCCCTGACAGCTGAGATATCTCTCCAGGACTTCAGTTGCTGTCTTTGGGCACCCGGCCAGCCAGCCCTTTTACACCTTCACCCCCCTACCAGTCTTTATGTGGTCTCCACTTTTGGTCCTTGGGTATCAGGGTTCTCTCCTACGAGTTTTCCGTTGATTATTCAGGAAGTTTTTCTGTATTTTAGTTGTAATTCCAGTTTGTTCCTGGGAGCATGTCTGTGCAGCATCCACTTACTCTGCCGCCATTCTTAATCTCTAAGAACAGTGATTTAAAATGGAATAAAACTCCACTGATAATTTTTATCTTTAATGTTCCTTTCACAGTGAATAAATTCAAAAGTTCTTCCCAAGGGAGCTACTGATTTTTCATGATGCCTATATGGAAATGTTTTCACATTATCTTGAAAACATGATATGAATTTATTTAAATAGATTATTATAAAAATGAGAAAACAAAACCCTCCTAGGTATACAAAATTTATGTCAAAGTTAGGAATAAAATGCACTTATGTTTTAGGCCATCAAAATGAAATCACATGCCTGAAAAATAAATATTGATGCATACATATAGTGGTTCATTCAAAAGCATTTTAAAATCCAGGTGATATTTTTTTAAAAAAGAATAAATTATTTGAATGTTTAACTTAATTGACTATTAAGAAAACTTTTCAGCCCTAGCTGCTATGGCTCAGTGGATAGAGCATCAGCCTGCGGAATTGTCCCGGGTTCGATTCCCTGGTTGGAATAGTGCAGGAGGCAGTTGATCAATGATTCTCTCTCATCATTGATGTTTCTATCTCTCTCTCCCTCTCCCTTCTTCTCTGAAATCAATAAAAATATATTTTTTAAAAAAGAAAACTTTACATAACAAAGCTTATAGAGTATTTTTTTAATTAAAAGGATAAAAATATCAGAATATTCATTATCTGTCTCAATTAAAAATAACCAAATGAGGGCTTAAATTGAATCTAGATAACATGAAATACGTTAAATTTCTCAGGAAAAGAAAAATCTTAGTGTTCCATCAAGATATTATTACAGTGTAGATAACTTTAAGATATTGTTATATTACTTTTCTTCATTAGTGGAAATAGGTTGCTGTTTAAAATGTCATATCAGCCTGGCTGGGTAGCTCAGTTGGGTATAACATTGTCCCCATAGCCAAGATGCAGGTTTCATCCCTGGTTAGGGAACATACAAGAATCAACAATGAATGCATAAATAAGTGGAACAACAAATAGACGTTCCTTTCTCTCTCCCTTTCTTTCTAAATTTAATTTAAAAAGCATGAAAAATTAAATGTCCTAAGTCAGTTATAATTTGGTGATCACTTAGCCTGTTTGAATTGGTTACATTCCATAATATATTCTACACTAGAGGCCGGTGCATGAAATTTGTGCATGGGGGAGGGGGGCCCCTCAGCCCAGCCTGCACCCTCCAATCTGGGACATCCCTCTCACAATCCAGGACCACTGGCTCCTAACTGCTCACCTGCCTGCCTCCCTGATCACCCATACCACTATGCGTGCCAGCCTGATTGCCCCCATCTGCCTCCCCCTGCCAGCCTGATCAACTCCAACTGCCCCTCTGCCAGCCTGCTCACCACC